GAGCATTTATGAGAAATGCTACATATCACCTCGGAGTACATGGGGTGGAATTAGCGACGGACTTGGGATTCCAAAGCTTCATTGTTGAAGGGGATTCCCGATCGGTGTAGGATAGAATGAAATCCCCAATTCCTGACATGTCTGTGATAAGCGCTCTTGTGTGGGAAGCAAAGAGACAGGCTTCAGCTGTTCATGCATGTCGTTTTATGACTGTTCCGAGGAACGATAATAAGGTGGCTCACCTTTTAGCGGCTAATCGGAGCTTGGATGGAACTGATCGGTATTGGATCGATGAAGCCCCAGCTGACGTTGAATCTCAAGCGGCGGAAGATAGGAGATGGATCTATCCGCCATAATCTCTCATGAATCCTCGGTTGGGCGTATTGTATGCTCTGTAAATCATTTGATCTCTCGGTGCTAACGTTTTTTAATGGTTATTTTTTCACACTAAAGATGCACTGGAGGAGGGCTTTTTCCTGTCTGTTCTGAAGTACATTGTTTTGCTTTTTTAAGCTATTTTCTTACTTTTTATGCAATAAAAGCTAGCACCTTTATATTCATATATATATATATATATATATAATGCTTAGTTAATAATAATATAGTTTTTAATTTTTAAAATATATAAAATTATTCACCTCATAAAAAATCTTAAATTTGATCAAAATTAAAGAAGTGATTGAGTACAAACTTACTCAAATAACATTAGGTATTCAAATGGTCAGTTCAGTTAATAATCGATCAAATTATTGTTAATTAAATTAACCATATTTTTAAAACTGTTAATCATTAATATAACTGATTTATTTATCAAAATATATAATTAAATCGAAATACAATTTATTCAGTTTATGAATTAATAAGAAATTATCAATTTTTTAATTTTGATTTAAAATATGGTAAATTATACGATCACTAAACTTTTGGTTTTGCATCGATTTTAGCACTGAACTTTAAAATGTTTCATTTTCAGCATTAAAATTTAGTTTGCATTTTAATTAAGGCACTAGGTTGTTAAATAGTTAACAACGTGATGATATGGTTGTTTCTTTCCAATCTTTTATAGAAAATTGACAACTCACTCGATTGTCATTGTCAGCCAATCAATGTCTCTCATTGATCGCCATTTACGACAATATCAATATCAAAATATTCATATTTCGCTCTTTCTTCTCAAATTGGGTTTTCACAAAACTCACTCAAAATGATAAAAAATACATCTAAAAGCTTGATGTTATAATACTCTTATCTCCTCTTACGAATGTTTAATGAGGCTAGTGTTTAACTAAATTGCAAAAAGAATAAATTTATTGTTAATAGTAGGAATTGAAGTTACACATGTATTTTATAGTAGGTTAAATACAAAAATAAGTGTCCAAAATATATCTCGAAAAACGTTTTGGTGCCTAAAGAATTTTTAGCTAAAATATATGCTTAATGTTTCAAACGTTACATTTTTAGGTGTCCAAACGTTAACCACCGTTAAATATCTCCGTTAAGTGACATATGTCACGTTTTGATTATTTTTGAAATCTATTTCTAAAAAATTAAAAATAAAAATATTGTTTATTTAAAAAAAATCCCCCGCGTGCTCCCTTCCCCTCTCCCTCCCCCTTCCCCTTCCCCTTCCCCTTCCCCTTCCCCCTTTCCCCTTTCCCCTTTCAACCTTCTACTATCGATCGACCGTGACTGTCACGACCGCCTTCAGCAATATCAGCGTCGACCTCCGATCAAACCCTCATTGGCCTTTCGTCGTAAGTTTTCACCGTTTGCCATGGAGAAGCATTCAAATGTTCGTCGGATTTTAAACCACCGTCTTCGTTTTTCATCGATTCCGACCGATCCCGACGTCCATAAGTCACATCGTCACCACCATTTGAACCACCATGCAATTCCGCTCAAAACCCAATCATTCGACAATGATGATAATGGTCGAAGATGGTCGATGACCGTGGAGGGAGGGAGAGAAATGGACGGGGTTGGGGGTTGATTTTTTTTATATTTTAAAAACAATATTTTTATTATTAAAAAATGATAGACACCTAAAAATATAACCGAGAAAATATTTGGCACTTATTTTGAACGAAAAATTATTTAGGCACCAAAACGTTTTTCGAGACATAATTTATGTACTTATTTTTGTACTAAGCCTTTTTAGTATTAGTGGAACATGCAGTTTAAATTTGGTCAAAATGATCTTAAAACGAATGAGTAACAAAAAAGCAAGGAAATCTTGTAAATTTAAGGGATTAAATTGAAAAAAAATAAATTTAATTTTCAAAAAAGAAATTGAAGCTACATAATTATTAAACAATGATTTAGGAATGTGTGGCTTAAATTTGGTCAAATAATGGACTTACAATGAAGGAGACATTAAAGAAATAAGGAAATCAATGATTAAATTGTAAAATAATTAAATTAAATTTTTAATTTTCTCAATTTTTTAAATAAGTGAAATTTGAGTTGATTTGAATAATTTGACTCAAATAATTCAAAAACAATTTAAAAATATTTTTTATTTTTGTTAAATTTAATCAAGTTTTGTTCACTCCTACTTGAATTAAATTGGGAGAGATAAAAAAAAAAGTATTTGAATTCATCATCCTTTCCTTTGATTGGATATCTATTTTTATTTAAGCAAGGGACATTTACTTCATTTGAAGGGAAAGCTAAAGGAACAAAAGTAAACAAACTTTTAATGATATAAAAATTGGGTTAAACTTTGATCTATCATTTCTTTCATTTATTATTATTTAATAAAAAATCAATCATTTCTATTATTATTTATGTACATGATTTATATAATTTATATGTAAATCTTATACATATGTATAACAATGAGTAAGGTATTAAAAATGATGAAAAAAAGTACAATAGACTAGATCTCAACTATTAAAATATAATTTTTAACAAAAAGAAATTAGTTTGAACCATATGAATAGTCGGATAATTATCTATCATTTTATTAAAAATATAATAATAAAAAATCATCATAATTAATCATTAACTTTCCTTTCCGCTATCTATCCAAACCAAAATTAATAAAATTACTTTATTTTTCTTTTTCTTCATTAATTTTAACTACTATCAAAATAAAATAATACATAATCATTTCCTTTAATTAGCCATTGTTTCTTTTTCTATTTTTAATCTACGCATAATGCAAACGTTTTTTTTTGTCAGGTGTCCGGCAACAGTACCTGGAGGCTGGCGGTTTCTAGGTTAGAGATTTTTGGTCAGCTGCTTTAGATACTGATTTAACATTGGAATTGGATCTGAATTACATCAAATTATAGGTTTGATGTGTTCCAGAACAATTTCTCTTTGCCTTTTTCAACCCAAAACAATCGGATGCTAGGGTTAGTTCCATGTCCAGACTGAAAGACACGACTATCGTCCTTACCCCAAAGTTAAAGAATGCCACCAAATCAACAAAATTTCGACCTGTTTCTATATGTAATGTCTTTTACGAGGTCATTACTACGGTCTTTTGCAAATAGGTTGACAAGGTGTTTTTCATATCTTATTTTGAAAGCTTAGAGTGCATTTGTACTTGGAAGGCTTGCTACTGATAATGCTTTGATAGCTGTTGAATCTGTTAATTCTACACACATGAAGAATACAAGCTGAAATGTGGAAATGGCGGTTAAACTAGACATGTGTAAAGCTTATGGTTGAGTAGAATGAGATTATTTGTTGATTTATGGGGCCTAGTGGATATAGAATGGATTAGATTTTGTATTTCAAATGTGCCCTTGCATATTAAGATCAATGGGGTCCTCTCAGATTCTTTCTTCGCTAGCAGAGGATTAAAGCAAGGTGATCCCATTTCGCCTCATTCTTTTATAGATTTGTCGGGGTTAGGCTACTTCATAGTGTTACTGAATGTGAGAAACTTATTGAAATTCGAGCTTGTAAGGGTGCACCGATAATTTTATCAGCTAGAGATTATTCGTTACAAGGTTGCACATAGTTTGGGAACTGGCCATACTACTCCCTTGAAAAGAAACTTGCGGCTTAATAAATTGAACATTCCCGAGGGGACCCTTCCATGCTATTTTTAAGATGATATTGGGGCGCAATTTTATGATGACACTAAAAGTTGGGATCAAAATAAATTTGCTCAAGTGGTGGGATACAGGGTTGCCAGGTGATTTTGAACCATGTTGTTCTCGTTCCAACTCGAGAGGATGAGTTGATTTTGGACTTGGACAACTCGGGGAGATTCACCGTTCACAGTGAATACTCTTTTATCCACCAAAGACATATGGGTGGCTCTTATATTGGTTGGCTTACTCAATTGTTCATGCAAGAATTTGTTCAAGTATCTATGTCGAATGCAACTAGTGCAAAGCTTGAGATATTTTGTTGGATATTTTGCATGCTAGTAAAAGGGTGCGAACAATGGTGTTTCAAGCTCGAGGACCAGTGAAAACCTACTCAGATGCAGGTTTTAATTAGGGTTGAAACAACTTCCAAATTGCTACTATTATGAAGAACAACAAAGGTTATGTCAAGGTTGCTCGTTGCAAGAAACATGGGACCACTATGGACGGAGGCTTTAGCAATTTTAATGGAAGTACAATGGAGTGTGCAAATGGGGTTTTCTTCAGTTGTGATTTAAACGAATTCATCATTACCAACCATGTCTCTTGCAGGCAAATTCAAAAGCCTGAGGGGAGTATTTATAGGGCAGAGGCTGACTAAATATGACCCCTAACTTCTTAATAGCCTATCCTGTAGGTACAGATGGTAGAGTGGCAGGTTGCTACTATTGGACTTAACATGAAGGAGAGATATGATTTCACTAGACAGAGCATATCATCAAATTCAAAGCAGTAGTAATGCTGGATTGTGCTTGAAAAGTGATGGATTGACTGGTATTGGTAAGCATATTTTTAGGCGTTCTTCCCTGTATCTTCTGGAACCACGGAAATTTACATTAAAGTGACAGGTGCATCGTGTAATGCTTCTAGCTTAGGTCCCATATGCATCTCAAATGACATTCAAGGTTAAGAACACTTACGATGAAATCAATCCATGAACAACTCTATTCATGCAAGATAGATAGTGATATCAAGACTAAGGATCATACATATAATGAACTTCAATTTGAAATTGCTTTCAAAATATATTAGCATGCACTACCTTGACATGGATCATTTGATCCCACCGAACTCACAGGATTCCGTTGAACAGCAATCAGCTCTGTCCCTGCCTGTGAATCACTGCAAATGTAAAGATACAATTGCCGTTATTGTGTCGTCCCCGAGTTTTTTTCCCCTTTTACGTTTTCATTTTTGAACATATGAATCCGTAACCTTACCGAAGTACTCTGTTGAGATAAGATTGAAGCCAAGCTGTGTTGAAGTTCAAAGCAACGCGAAGTTGATCATTTGCCCTCTGATGCATTATCAGTTGAGTTTCGTTCCTTAATTGTTCGCATTCCAATTCAATAGCTGAAAACTTTTCATGAACTTGCCTTTGAGCCTTGATGATTTCTTGCTGAGCCTTGATGATTTCTTGCTCTTCCTTTATCTCTTCCATTTCTTTTTTCAATCGTCGCATGCTAGCTCTGATTGTCTGCCGATACGGCTGAACATTTAGAAGAGTATTTTACAAAAATAAAAGTACGGGTGTAAATAAGCACAGCGCTTGACAAACTGTTCATATACCATTATTTATGTTCATTTATTAAACTAAATAAACAAGTATGAACAAAATTTTTACGTTCATTAATTAAACGAAAGAACATAAACAAATGTGTGTTCGATTCGTTTATATTCACAAACAAACTCATCTATTGACTTGTTTATCGTCCCGTTTATAAGCCCCCTTTACTTGTTCTTTTTCCTTTTCCTTTGTACATTTTAAATATTGACGAAGATAAGGGTCAAAATGAACATAATATGATTAGAGTTCAAAGTAATACCTAAAACACTTAAAAATTAGTGGTGTAATTCCAACATTTTTCTCTGACATGCAAATAAAAAGGTAAAATGGTGTTTTGATTGTACAAATATGTTAATAAATGTTAAATGAATAAATTCACAAATGTCAAACCAACGAATACAAACATTTTTAAAAATAAATAAATGAATATAAACACAATATTAAAATTTTAAAGAACAAGAACCAAATATAGATATATTAAAAATTAATCAAACAAACAAGTTTCATTTATACTCAAAATAAAAGTAAAGGTAACAACCTTAAATCAGTACTTAAAGCAACGAAATTAACATTTATTTTATGGAAAAACTAAAAGTAAAAGCGATAAACGATAACACAAAAAAATAGATCAGATAGCATTTAAAAGATCAAGTATTAAGAAAACCTTTTCTCGTCTGTTCCTACTTTGAGCATGGAGCTTCTTAACCCGTTTATTTTCCTGCAAATCAAAAAATTAAGCACATATAAGATATTCCTATGATTGATGAAAGCAACAGAAATTGAAGACATGTTTGCGAATAAACCTTTAGATTGATAGCAAAAGAAGGCATGGTTCAGATCAGATCCGAAGGTGACAGAAAGGACAGCGAGGGCTGAGCGATCGAGCGAGACAGAGGGAAGAGCTGGTGAAGACTTTTGCACAATGCCCTATCAATTTGTAGACAGGAAGAACACCTTTACTTTTCTTCTTAGGTAAACTACATTTCAGCTCACTCAATTATTAGATCTGTTATAAACAGGTCACAATATTTCTAGATTATAATTTAATTCTTTAATTAAAATATTATATTATAAACACATCACTCCGATGTTAAAATTAAAACATAATAATGTAGTATAGTATAATAATTATTTTAATCTTCAAAACTTATTTATTTTATTAATATAATCTTAATTTAAAATAATTTAATAAATTTATCTTTTTATATTTTAAAAATTATGTCAATAATATTTAGAATAAATGACTGAAAGTTCTTAGTTAACCTATACTCTTTCTCTATTAGGGTGTGGGTTAAATATTCGTAACAAAAATTCTCCTTTCTCTTCCTACCCACTAAACCCTCTGCCTCTATGAAAGTAATTACATCCCTATTATTTAAAAAAATTAAAAATTAATGTAACATGTTAAAGGAAAGGGGAAAAATGTAGATCTCATTATTTAATTTTTAGATCAATTACTATTATCCTCCGTAACTGGATACCCTCATTAACATGAATTATACCAAACTTGGTATTTTTTAATTAATCCTAAACATATATATTTTCTATTATATTTATTTATAACTTTATGTTTTTAACTAATATATTTATTATAATTTTATCAGGATCTAGCATATTATATTATAAAATATAATTAAAATAAATTAAAAATAATTGTGTATATGAAAGTTAAAAAAATGATAAACTACACAAATGGTCACTAATATTTTAGTAGGTTTTTGTTTTCTCCATTGAAATTTTAAAAACAACATATTAACCACTAGCGTTAATGATTTGTAACAAAATGATTATTCTACCATCAAATATGTTAAATTATTATATGACAACATTAATAAAAAGGTTATATTGAAATATTAAAAGGGTCCCTAAAAATAATTTTATATATAATTTATCTAAAAAATTATTTTTTTAATACCCACCATCATCACTACCATATCTAGGGATGATAACGGGTCAGGTTAGGGTCGACTTTTTAGTCAACCTGATATGACCTGAAAATAGGTATCCTCCACTCGAATCCGACCCAACCCAAAAAATTTATATCTTACATTCGACCCGACCCGAAAAATATATATCCTCTACCCTACTTCAATCCGATTTTTAAGAGTATAAATCCACCGTGATATAAATGAAGAATTTTATTAAAAACAATAATAAATATTTTAAGGAAATTACATTATTATCCTCAGGCTAGAGTTTTTTCACCCTCCACTTGAATCCGACCTGAACCTGAATTTTTTTTTAATATGACCCATCAGATCAAGTCAAACCCATCGAATATGGTCTATCTCCCTCTCCTCCCCAGCTTTCCCACCACATCAGCTCCCAAACCTAAACATAATTGTCTCGACTTAGCCTTCTGTCACAGCAACAACAACAACAACAACCCTTAAAGATTAAATGAGCCTTTGAGACAGTGTAGTGAACCAAACACAGTCGTCTTTTGTCCGCTTATTCAGTTTTGTATGCTTTAAAGTAGGGAAAAGAGATTCATGCTATAAGAAAGAGTGTTAGTAACGAGGATTTCATGGTTATCGCATTCATTGACATGTATATGAATTGCGGGTATTTCTCTTGTGCGCGTAAAAAAAATTATCAGTTCGAGTCGAAGCCTGATGATTCTAAAATGCAATGATTTCTGGTTACGAAAGAAATGAAAAGAATGAATCAGCATTTGAGATTTTTGACTTGACGCTCAAGCAAAATGTAAAACCAAATTCAGTAACTTTTATTGTTGTTCTATCTTCATGCAGTCACACTGGTCAAGTCGACAAAAGATTACACGTTTTCAGAGGGTAAAGATTGTGACTTAGCCCAAATCTTGAGTATTTTGGTTGCATAGTTTATCTTTTGGGTAGATGTGGAAAACTATAGGAAGCTAAAGATCTAATACAACAACTGTCTTCTTCAAATTTTGCTTATCTGCTTGGTATAACCCCATTTCCTCCTCGAAATCATTACTAGTTTATTTTGTGCTATATTTTGATTTGAAATACTCCTTGATTGTCCATTATTATCGCTGATGTAGGCATTTTTACATGATTTTTGTGCAGAACAATGATTTCTGGAAAATTTGCTTAAAAGATGAAGTTCTGCACATTTTTTTTATTTTTCCAAAATCATGTGCGACCTAGTAGGCATGAAATTGGATATGAAAGTGCTGAAGTGGAATCCATTCAGCATATTCTAGAAGGTTCAATTAGCATTTTCGTGGAAGCAAAAGACTCAGTCGCAAATTCAAATTCAAATTTGAGTTTTATCTTTATTTTTAGGATTTAATTTTAAGAATTATCTTTTAGAATTTTTTTTATGTAAATTTAGGGTTTTATTCAAAGATTATAAATACCCCATTAGGGCAAGCCAAAAATCAATCATCTTTTATCTCTCGAATCCTTTTGTTTCTTCTTTAGTTTTATAAAGTTATTTTTCTTTTACTTTCGATCTTTTTTTTTTATTTTTCTTTAAAGTTTTCTTTTTAATGCTAAGTATGAAATCTGTCATGCTTAGCTAATTTTCTTTCAAGCCGAGGGCTAAAGCGATGATTCAATTCCAACATGAGAATTGAAAAGCACTTAAACCACTTCAGATATTTCTCTCAGTTTCTTTGAGCTTATTTTCAAAATCAGAACAATTTCAAAACCAAATATTGACGTTGGTTAGGATGTTGTTATGGTTAAATGTGTGGGAGGTATAATCTGCTTATTGAAAGCACATTCGACTTCCTATGAACACACTTAGAAAAATTGTTTACTAAGAGGAAACTGAGATTGGAATCAGTTATCATTGAAACAACATAGTTTGAGTTGGTCTTTGACGAACTCAAACATTTTTATATACAACATTATTGTTGATTAGGTCAATTTTCCAAAATCGATATCAAAGGTTGCATTAGGGTATTCAGTATACAAGGCATAGTCACAAGGTTGGTCCTTGTAGACAAGTAACCAACGAGAATCTCGAAGTAAAAACCTTTTTCGATGATCCGAGGAAACTGAGTCAAAGCAAAAGCCTAAGGCTGACTTATACCATATTGAATCTATTTCTTTTTAATCTCTTATTTTCTTACTTTTATTTTATTTTACTCTTTTCATCCACAAACCTCCACCTTAACTTAAATATTGTTAAACTCAACTCACTTCTTGGCTCATAGATTAAACAAGAATGAAAAATTGTCGGATTCTCTTTGACCTTTGTAACGCACCAGCCACTTTCTAGAGATGTATGTTGAGTATTTTTTTTCTGACTATGTGGAGAAGGACATCGAAGTTTTCTTGGATGACTTCATAATATATGATAATTCTTTTAGTGTGTGTTTTAAAAATTTAACTAAAGTGCTTAAGAGATGCTTAGAATTTAATCTTGTCTTGAACTATGAAAAATTCCATTTTATGGTTAATAAGGGATTAATTCTGGGACATATTGTTTTGTTTAACAGAATTACCATTGATAAAGCCAAGACCAATATTATATGCTCACTACCTTACCCCACAATTGTGAGGAAGGTTCGTACTTTTCTTGGCCATGCAACCGAAGATTTATTAAAGATCTTTCAAAGCTAGCGCGATCATTGTTTGAGTTGTTACAAAAAGATAAAGTCTTTAACCTTAATCTTGAGTGCAAAAAATAGTTCGATGTACTTAAAGAAAAGTTGATCACAACACCAATCGTTAAAGCACCAAATTAGGAATATTATTTTGAGCTTATGTGTGACATATCAGATACGACCCTTGGAATCGTTCTTGGAAAAAGAATAGGAAAATAACATCATGTTATCGCCTACGCTTCACGAACTCTGGATTCAGCTAAGAGAAATTACTCCACAATAGAAAAAGAATTATTTTCTATTGTCTTTGCTTTAGATAAATTTAGATCTTATTTACTTGGAACTAAAGTGATTGTTTTTCTATCCATACAACTTTAAAGTACCTGATAAACAAAGAGGAGATGAAGCCAAGGCTTATCTGATGGATTCTACTTCTACAAGAATCTAATTTGGAAATTAAATACAAGAAGGGATACAAGAACTTAGTTGCAGATCATTTGAGCCACATTCCCCTTTCTATAATCTATCCACTACTTCGAGAGGAAATTTGATGTTGGTACAGAAGACTGTTCTATGGTTCGCAGATATGGTAAATTATTTGGCCACAGGTAAATTACCATTAGACTTGCCTAGATCTAAAATTAATCGACTAAAGTGGGAGTCCTGATATTATATTTGGGATGATCTTTATTTATGGAAGCACTGCTCGGATCAAGTAATTAGGTGATGCATCGCTAAAGAAGAGGTAAATTTTATCCTAAACTTTTGTCATGAATAAAATTCTTATTCATGTGGTGGTCACTTTTGGACTAAAGCGATCTGCCCATAAGGTTTTGGAATGTGGTTTTTTTCCTACTTTATTCTGTGACGCTTATTTATTTTGTAAATCATGTGAGAAATGTCAACGTGCGTGCAGGGAATTTAAGCTGAAGGAATGAATTGCCTCAAAATTTGATTCACGTCTGTGAGATTTTTGATGTATGGGGAATCGATTATATGGGTCCTTTTAATTTTTCATTTGGAAATATTTATATCATTCTTGCTATTGATTATGTTACTAAATGGGTAGAATCTATGGCTACCCGAAAATGACGCTAGAACCACTGTTAATTTTTTGAAAAATTCTATTTTTTCTAGGTTTGGCAAACCACGAGCGATAATAAGCGATTGAGGAACTCACCTCATCAACAAGATGATTGACGCGCTCATGAAGAAGTTCAGAGTGACTAAAAGAATTGTCAATGCTTACCATCCGCATACTAACGAATAAACTAAAGTATCGAACCGTGAGATTAAAACAATTCTTGAAAAAATTGTAAAGTTGGATCGTAAAGATTGGAGTCTCAAGCTATTCGACGCATTGTGGGCATACCTGACTGTTTATAAAGGTCCCATTGAAATGTCTCCGTATCGACTCATC